AAATTAATAATTCCTTACTATTATCTAATATTCAATCACTATTAAGTTTTCCATGATTATCTTTTTACAGTTGGTTTTGATTTAGGACCTAAACAGTCTGTGCATTACATTTGCTTGTTTTTTTTTTTTTAAATGTCTTTCTTAAGTCTCTTTTAATAACAGTTCTCATCCCCTCTTTTTTCTCACTGTTTGTTGAAGAAGGCAGGTCATTTTTCGTATATTCTGGATTTTGTTCTTTGCATCCCTGTTGCACTGTTAGTATGTTCCTCTATCCACTATATTTTCTGAGAACCAATCAACCATTTAAAGGTTTGTTTAGATCAAATTTAATTTTCTGGAGAGTATTTCTTAGGTGATGCTGTTTGCTTCTTATTGCAACTTATTAGGAGGCACGTAGTATCTGGTGGTCTGTCTTTTTTGTGTAAGATTGACCCATGAGTGCCTTTAATTTTTATTTGATCATTCCTTTATTGATAAATTTAGGATACGTCCAGTTTTTTTTGCTAATTCTAGTGTTTTTTTGTTTTTTTTTTTAATTCTACAATGACCATCCTTATACATATATCTTTGCAAACTTGCCTAGGTTATTTCCTTAAGTTCCCAGAAGTGAAACTACTGGGTCAAAGGATATAATCAATGCAACAAGTATTTTGTGAGGCTACCAGTTGCCAGTTGATTCTGAATCACAGTGACCCCATGTGTTAGGCTAAGAGTTCCTAATAAAGACCACAGTCCCCAGTTATATAAACCAGTAGCCTAGGGACATTAAAATTGATGCTGACTTTATCTGCTGACTCCTGCATCCTTGATCCTCAGAGATCCTTAATATGTCCTGGCTAATAACTCAAGGTCTGCATAGGCGGACACAAGGCAGTTCCTATAGTAAGGCAGGTTAAGCTATCTCAGCTAGATCTCCTATCACCTCCTGCTATCAAGGAAGATTCCAGACAGCTTGTACATGTTGCTGAGTAATAACATTCAGGATGAGAAAACATCCTAAGATTCTACACAATCTGTACTGTGAAAAGATGACCTACAGTAAAGTTAAAAATGTTGAGTTCAAGATAGGTAAGAAAAAGCAATCAGTGGTGGGCAGCTTTGGGAATTACTACCTCGGTCCTTATTATGGATTGAATTGTGTCCCCCCAAAATATCTGTCAACTTGGCTAGGCCATGATTCTCAATATTGTGTGATTGCCCATCATTATATCATCTGATGTGACTTTCCTACTATTGTAAATCCTACCTCTGTGATGTTAATGAGTCAGGATTAGAGGCAGTTATGTTAACAAGGCAGGACTCAATCTACAAGATTAGGTTGTGTTTTAAACCAATCTCTTTTGAGGGGTAAAAGAGAGAAGTCAGCTGAGAGACAGGGGGACTTCATACCACCAAGAAAGCAGCAGCTGGAAGCAGAGTGCATCCTTTGGACCCAGGGTTCCTGCGAGGAGAAGCTCCTAGGCCAGGGGGAGGATTGATAACAAAGATATTTCTCCAGAGCCGACAGAGAGACAAGGCCTCTTTCTGGAGCACACGCCTGAATTTGGACTTCCAGCCTCCTAGACTGTGAGAGAATAAACTTGTTTGTTGAAGCCATCAACTTGTGGTATTTCTGTTCATTTTTAAGTGTGGTTCTCAGCTTTACATTTTGCTTTTTCAAGTCTTGGCTTTACTGTGTTAGTTCATCTTTGTATTATCATAAAAGAAAAAAATTTCCTTAAATCTCAAATGTGATTTTACAAAAACTGGTGTCTAAGAAATTCCTCAGAATATTTCTGTATTTTTTCCTAAGGGCTTCCGTAACATATTACCACAAACTTGCTGGCTTAAAACAACAGAAATTTACTCCCACAGCTCTGAGGACTAGAAGTCTAAAATCAAGATTTCAGCAGGGCCATGCTCCCTCCAAAGGCTCTAGGAGAGAATCCTTCCTTGCCTCTTCCAACTTCTGGTGGCTTCTGGCATTCCATGTCTTGCAGAGGCATCAGTCCAATTTCCACCTACATCTTCACATTGTCTTCTCCTATGCATGTCCCTGTGTGTCCTTTTCTCGTATAAGGACACTCTCACTGGATTTAGGGCCCAACCTAATTCAGTGTGAGCTTATCTCAATCCTTAATTACATCTGCAAAGATCCTATTTCCAAATAAGGTCACCTTCTGATGTTTTGGGTGGAGATGAATTCTGGGGGGACACTATTCAACCTACTACAATTTTCAGTGTTTCATCGGAAGCCATTAGGAAATAGGAGTCACGTAACAAAAACTTTATAGTACCTATTTTGAAGACAAACTACTTGAAGACAGCAACCAATTCCTATTCTTCTTAGACTTCCCTGCACCAGTAGAATAGTTGATGTGGATGTTAAGGATCCAGGAAATCATCCAACGTCTGTTCTTAACACTTCATTTTATAAAATTAGAAAACTGATGTCCAGAGAAGAGTAGAGAATTGCTCAAAGTCATATGACCATGAGTAGCAACTAGAACCCATATCCTCCATATTTTGTTCACACTGAGCGGTTGGCATCCAGGGTGTCATACATCCAGAGGGAACAGCTACAATTTTAAAGTGATATCTTAAATCAGGTACTATAACAACCCCACACCCAAACCCCAAAACATCTAAGGATGGAACCTTATTCATGGTGGTTGGGGCAACAATTTTATATATTTAGCATTAGGACCTAAAGAAGCAGAGGGGTGGTGGTGGTGGTGAAGATGAGGGGTGTTTCTAAGGTGACCAACACATTTTAAGGCCCAAAGTTCAACACCTCAGGCTGTGGTACCCAGCCCTGTGGTCTTCTCTGTTTTTGGCATATAGCCTGGATCCTGGAGAACAAAGTTGTTGGTTGCTGTTGAGTCGATACTGACTCACGGCCTCTTTATTATTTCCAGTCCTCTCTCCAGGCTGCCAGCAGTTAGGACAAAACAGCCAGAAGTGAGGGAAGTTTATTTTCTTTAAGACATGAGTTGATCATTTGTTTTCTTTCTGTCCACAGCACTTGGGATGTTAATTACAGCTCTGAATACTGCTTAACAAGAAATGCAGTAAACATGGGACTGAGCTCAGTTAATGAATATTATCATCCTTTAAAAACTGACTTTGGCAATTACACACTAATCAACGGGAGTGTTCCAATCTGAGGCCGACCCCAGTGAGAATTTGATAGGACAGCTCACACGTTTGTCTTGGAGAGCTGAATCATGAAAGAGCTCACAACCTATCTCCACGAGCTCAGTTCACACCTCTCTAAGGGTAGGGTTTGCATTTCTTTCTCTGGATTATTCTTTGGAGCTGAGGTGAGGGCAAAAGAACCAAGTTAAGAAACTCGAGCCTTCTTTTGGCTTCATCAGTGGTTCCAGAATTAGATGCCCGTGTTTCTACCTTCCTAAAGCTTCCAGTCATCTCAAGAACACTAGCATGAAATAGGATGTGACTAAAAGTAACATTGAGTGATCCTCCTCACCCCCTTCCCATTTTGTTGCGTCCTAGACACCAGCTGACTGAAAAAGAGTAAAACACTTGGATCATAGGCTGATCCCTATAAGACTGACCCCTGATGCTAAGCCAAGGGTCTTGATATCCTGACTTGCCATTTCAGGGTACTTGCTCTAGGAATTGTCTGGGTTGTAGCTAAGTCAGAGAGGCCTGGAGCATAAATGAAGCTTGAAAGGCTAGGAATTCAGTTCAGTTCCAGAGCCTCCTGCAGAAGAATTCAAAGGATGATGGGAGGAGCCAGTGAGAGACCATCTGGAATGAGGCATGTGGCCTGAAGGAGAACAAGGAAGTTCTTTCATTGCCTGGGAGTGAAGACTGCTGGCAGGGAAGGGAGGGACCCCATAAAGTCCACAAAGCCCTTCTGTGATAGACACTCAGCTGGAAAGTCTGACTGGAAAATGGGAGCAGGGCCAAGATTCCACTGAGGCCAGAGGCCCAGGCCAGGCCCACCCTATATCCCCTAAGTCACCTTTCTCTGAGCATGTTCCATGGAACAAAGTTCCACAGTAACCAACTAAGTACCTGAGAAGTTGTAAAGGAAATACGCTTCTTTGTTTTAACCTGTATTTCCCAAAAACAATTTGACCATGGAACATTTTGCAAATACCAATTACTGTTCTATGGATCTAATACTCTAAAAATGACATATTGGGAAAGGCCAATTCCAGTCTCTTTCCAAATTTAACTCTTCTCCTCTAGGAAGCCCTCTCAAATTGCTTCAACTCGTTCACCTCCCCCTTCCTGCCTTGCAGCCTTTGATCATATAGGTCCCTGTGTGAGTCATGTTCTGAACCAGTCAGTCTTTAAAGCAGGTGCAAAGGGTAGTGTGTCCAGCTTGCCTGGGAAAGGAACAACTACCATGTGACAGAGGAATAGGCTTAGTGGCCCAGCCCTGGTAGGTCTTCAAGAGATGGTTGTGTGAGGAGGGTAGTCTGATTCAGCAGCCTTTCTTTCAGCTACAGACCCAAACAAGCTGTGAGAATATCACTTATGGTCACTGTGTCCTCCACTTATATAAGGCATCTAGGATCTATGGCCCCAACTCCAAAAAAATATCCTGTTCCCAGGGCCCTGTGCAGCCACTCTCACAGTAATTTTCATGGCACCGCCACTGAAACAGACAGGGCCAATCACTAGCTGATTTACGTAAGGAAAGCCTGATGGTGAGAGATGCAGGTCACCTTTCCCACATCCAGTCATTCAGAGCAAAACTAGCACCTTCCCTCCTCATCTTCAGCCTGTTTTTTTCTTTTTCTTCTTCTTCCAGGTACCACACTACTTCCCCTGGGCATATTCACCCTCAATTTGGGCCAAATCGGGGGATCAGGGGCAGACAGGTCTTGGTGTTTATGTTTCTGTACCTGATTCGCCTCCAACTTTGAGGAAACTCTTGTGTTCCCCCACTGTCCCAAGCAATCCCAGCACTCCAAGCCAACCTCCAGCCAGTCATTTGGGGCCTTCTTTCTGTAGCCTCTTGGCTGTACACTCACTCAAACTACTTTGCTCTGGAATAATATTTATTTTTTTCCTTGGCAAAAAGTCAAGTGCTACATTTTTTAAAAACAGAAAATCCCAAACAATCAAACGCATTACCCATCACAGAAGAGGGTCAGGCAACAGTACAAAACATCCTACTTTTTTTTTTTTTAAACATACAAGTCAGTTTAAAATAATAGAAGTTCTGTGAGAACTAAGAAATCTACAGCTTGTAGTTTAATAATAGAAAACAATTAAGACAATTAAAAGATCTATAGCATCCAGCATTTTGCTTAATTCCCTTGTTTATAGCACCTATTTCTCTAGGTTAGAAGATGAGAATTCCAGAACCAGTGGTGTATGCTGTGTACCAAGTTCGGCTGGACTTGCTGTTTCCCCTCTCCAGCAGTCCCCTACCATCAAGGGAAGGACACTTCTTTCCAGTCTCCCCAATTAAACCCAGAGCAGAAGGGGACAACTGGGAGAAGAGCTTAAAAGCTGGGGTGCAGGAGTAAAAATAGGACTTTTCCTTTCCCCAGGACGGGCTGTTTACAGAGTATGTGCTTAGAGGAGAGGAGGAATTTATGGGTAGGAACAGCTGTTACTTATCTGCAACATGATGTGTGAAAAGCAGCGAACAACTGGACATCACAGCCAGTCAGTTGCCTCCAAATTTAAAAACCTCAGACTACACAGATAGCTCAAGGGAGGAACAGACAAATTACTAATCACATCAATGCTGTTACATGCACAACGTCGCTGGCTGCAGGTCACCCCGTTACCATCCTAGAGCTGAGCCAACAGAGAGGGAGGGGTGGCCTCAAACCCAGCCCCACTGCATTGTGGAAACAAACATTACACACACGAAGCACTCCCTACACACAGATACACCCCCTGCTCACCCCCACCCTCCTAGACTGAACTCAATTTAGAAAACAAAAGCAAAACCCACTGGGAAGACTGGAAGACTGGCAAAGGAGAGTGTTTTTCCCCAAAGCCAGGGGGATTGATTATGTGAATCTTAGTGGGCTTGAGGCCCCCAGCCCTAGGCCCCTGAAATACCAGCTCAAGTCTTATGTGAGGAATGGAGAGTCTCTTTACCGGGTCTTACCAAGCCTTCTGCAGCCTGCAGAGCTGCATCTGGATGGAGACCTTGATGTCTTAGGGGAATGGCCACTGGCTAAGCAGAGGGGAAGTGGGGAAGGGGAATTGGGGAAGTGGAAGTGACACATACACAGAAATGTTCTCACGTGGGGACACACAGGTGGGAAGACAGGTAGGGGCTGGAACTCATTGGAGTCCTGGCATGGGGGCCCCCAGGAAGCCTGCAATCTAACTCAAAGGGTTTTCACGATGGATATTTGTTTTTCTTTGTTTTTACTTCGTATAATCAGTGTTGTTAGACTTTAAAAAACAAGATAAAGACTAGTCCCAAAGCTGGACTCTGAATAAAGTTGTTTCTTTTATAAATATTTTAATTACAAGTAATCCTCACTCCAGGTAATTTTAGTGACACACAGTATAGACACACAAGCTCGCGCGCACACACACACACACACACACACACACACACACAGAGCCCCCAAACTTTCACAGAAAGTCTGACAGCAACCACATAATTATAAAGGAACCCTACCTCATAAGTGAAGTAAGGGTGAGAATGACTGTGTCAGGCTGAAAGGAAGCCAGAAAAGAGAAAGTGTGTGTCACTTAAAGAAAAAATACAATAGGGATTAATAATGATGTTGGGTGAGAAAGGAACAAAAAAGACAATAAAGTTTAAAATTCTGATTACCAAAAAGGAAAAAAGGAAAAAGGCCCTATTCAGATTTCTGTACAGAGCTTCTTCCTGTCAAATGCCTAAACCACAGATAAACTCTGGTGTTCCCTCTGTAATTTGAAAGCCTCACACAATTGGGGAAAAAAAAAATCAAAAGAAGAAACAAGGAAACTGAGGATGGAAGTTAGTGTAAATCTCTGCATTTTGGGAGAGAGTTGTCATTAACTCCAGAGCCCAGCATAGTTTCCATGGAGCCCTGAAGGGAGGGGACCTCCTGCCACAAAGAGTTTCGTTCCGGACGAGTCGTAGCAGTGGGTGTAAACGGCATTTGGGAAGTAATCAATGTCCGAAAAGTAATTCCTCCAGGTTTCATCATGATTCTATGGGGAGAGAAAGACTTTGTTAGCACCTCCCAGGTTAAGGGGCAGAAAAGGGGGGGAGGAAGGGACAGGAATGCTTTCTGGTCTCCTTGAGAGAGGCGGGTCCTGTACCTGTAACCTGATGCCAGGAGGTTGGTGCTCATGGAATCTGGGCCTCATTTTTCCAACTTAACATTAGAGAGGAAGAGAGCAGGCTGAAGAATTGCTATACAAACCTAAGGTCATCTCAGCACAGCTGGAACCAAGCTTTTTGATCATTCACTGGCAGCCTTGGCGGAAGGTGCATTATCCTTCCTACGCTCTTACCACCTGGGGGGATCCTGGTCAGCCAATGAGGCTCACTGGGCCTCAGTTTTCCCACAGACAATATGCAGATACAAAAGCAAAAAAAGTACCTGGCTTTCTCTGCTGCCAAGGAGTGCCTCTTACTAGTGAAAACGTTTGTGTGTAGGTGGTGTGTTAACAGGGGCGTGGGGCAGAATGAAGGCAATTTTTCTGCACTGTCCAGCAACCATCTCAGGTAGAGGCTTACTCACCAGCCAGCCTTTGCCAGTGGTTAGTTTCAGATTCTCCCCTGCTAATCTGGGCTTGGACCCATAACAAGCTGAGAGCCTCTCTTCCAGAAATCTCTGAGCTCGGATGTCATAGAACAGCAGGGAGCCCTGCCCTGTGCCCACAGTGATGATGTGCTCGTAGAAGCTCACTGACCGGATCCCTGAGAGACAGAAAAGCAAAGAGCAATGAGCAGGGAGACGTACGCACTGACAGTACTGGCCTGAATTTCTCCAATATCGAGTTCACATGGTACCCTCAAGTACCAGACAGTGCCTTTCCACTGACAGGCGTAACTCATGCAAAAGCCAAAGGGAAGCCTGATGCCACAATGCCCATCCATACATTTAACAAGGACCCTCCGATAAGTCTTGGAGAAGCGCTAAGTGCCCAAGGATGCACAAGACACTTCTGGCCTAAAACCATAAGGGTGCCCCAAATCTCCCTGCTTCCCCTAGACTTACTCTGGACTCACTCTGGTGTCATCTTTCATAATTCTAAGCACTTCTCCATTATGTTTCCAACCTATACTGCAACTCAGGGTAATCTGCATATTTACAAATTATTGTATCAATAAGGACTTCCTTGTCTTTGACCTAAAAACCACTAGTATGGCACTGCAAGGGTCTTTATCTGGTTAAGTGTGTTATGAGGAAAGCAAACAGCTAGAACGTATGTACCTAAAGGCACTGTCTCACTTACTTTAAGACAAGTCATCTAATCACTCAGGATCATAGGGAAAACAAATACATCTATCTCAATTGTGCATGTAGGAACTCTTGAATTGGTGAATGTTTTGTTGTGCATATTTGCACCACAATTAAAAAAAAAAAACACATTTGTTTCACTTGTGGATCAAATAAATACATGGGATATGAAGATGCCTCTCGGCACATAAAAGGTGCTTGATAATACTGTGGAATGAATGTTTCCGTATTAGGTATGAGAGCTACTTCAGTAAGAGTGACCAAAATCTCTTAAAGCTTTTCACTGCATACATTATTCCAGCCCAGCCTATCTACTCCTCCTCCTACTATTCTTTACAAATATTATTCTCTTTGCTCCAAAATGTGAGGGTGTTAGCTATAACTAAAAACAACCCCCCCCCCAAAAAGCCACTTTCGCAATTATCTACACAGGAATAAACACTACTTGAAAGGTTAAATTGTGGTTGAATTGTGATCCATAAGCCTTCCAGAACTCTCAGGAAACATTTCTAGCCACATTTCTGCATGAGAAGGGAGACAAAGAGAGGTGAAGAATTGGATGATTTGGATTCTGGCCCCTGGCTGTTCTCCCACCAGGCTGTGTGATATTGGTCAGGTTATTTAACTGCTCTGGGCTTTAATCTCCTCATCTGAAAGAATGAGGTTAACACTCTTTCCTAATTGCTTCCCATAGGCTCTTGGTCAGATGAGAAATGAGATGACATCAGAAAAAGGTATTCTGAAACCTTAAAGTACACTACAAATATCAAATCTCTTTTTTTCCTCCAAGAGAATTTCATCTCCTCACTGACAGCGAGGTTGCTTTCAGAGAGAATATGCCATAAAAGATTGGAGGCTGAAGCCTAAGTTACCCAGTGGTCAGAACTAAATACTCTGTTCAGCTTTACTGAGGTATAACTGACATACAATACACTGCACACATTTAAAGTGACATATGTCAAACGTCCATGACACTATCACCATAATCAAAATAATTAAAGTTTCCTTGTGCCCCTTTGTAAATTCCTTCCCACACCCCAACACCACCCGTTAGCATACACCTAATTTTAGTTCAGGTGGGGCCCCAGCAAAAAATTACCACAAGATAGAAAGTAAAGCTCTGTGAAAGAACATGGAAACCACTAATATTCTGACTGCTGGTTTCCACTAGTACCTTTGTGGTGTTTGAAACTCTGCTGCCATATGCAGGTACTTAAGCTCCCTCTTGCGTCACTAAACATCCACCTGTTCCATATAGATCCTTGTTTGCAAAACCATCATAGAAACTTAAAATCAAAACTCATTTGCAATGCAGTTGCAAGCCTGAGGGGCACCCTAGGACTCTTACCACTGCCTCGCTCTCTGGAGCAGACAGACTTGACGTTGTAAGATGGCTGCCGTGGATCCAAGAAGGAGACATGTGCTTGGGAGCCCACTGCATACACTGACCATTCACTACCATAGGCCAGACATACATTCTCACGGCAATATGGCAGTTTGGTGGAGAGAAGCTGAAAACAGAGAGAAGAGAGAAGCCTGTGGCATCACCAGAGAGCCTAAGACAGGGGTGGTGTTCAAGGACTCCCACCTCTGTGGGCTTTCCTCATACACAAGTCACACAAAGTCAGGGAGAAAAAGACAAGCCCTGAAGTAAGGAAATATCACCCTGCTCCACCCCTATGTGTTCAAGAGAAAGAGAGGGTGACTGTAATAAACAATAAGATCCAGAAATTGAAGAGGACAGGTTAGGGAAGAAGGCAAATCTGGAACTAAATAATCAGAGGTAGCGGGAAAAGGCCAAGACCTACAGGTTGTTTCCAGGGGTAATCTCAAGGCACTAAAGCCAAGGTCCCACTTTGTTTTCTTAGAAAAAGCCACTACCCTCCTCACTGCTCATCAGATAAAGGGACTGATTTCTGGCTACCCTCAGCCTAACTCTCCGATTGTGTGGGAACTGTACCCTAGAGAAAGCACACTCACAGGACTGGCTCAATCCCAGAAAATCCAAATTGGCCTTAACCCTGGCTCCTTGTCATTTGGCAAATCCTCATGAGTGCCTATGAAGGCACCATGTAAGGTCAGTGGAGCTCAAAGGAGGCTGTGACATAAAAGAATTGATAATTCTTGGGCCCTGCTTCCTCTTGAGAAAGAGCCTATCAACGAAGTAACAAGTAGCAAAGCCATCTGAGATGAAAAGAGGGCAAGACCCATATGTAGGTTTAACTCTATGCAAAAGTTGTTTGTAAACACTGTAAATAAATTCCATTTTCTTATTACCTTATATGTTTATTTCAGAGATGGCTTATCATAATTTAAATGATCTTCAGTTGCCAGTGGTTCCTATGATTTAGGTTTTTCTGCCCTCACAGCATGCCAAGTAGTCAACAATCATTGTGGACTGAAGGACAGCTAGCTAAAGAAGCCTCTCAGGAAGCCTCTACAAGGTGAAAGAATCACCCCTGCTGATCTCTTTAAAAAGACTTTCCTTCAAAAAAGACATGCCAGACCTAGACAGAATTTCATGCACCATGCAATAACATGCCTAGATCTTTGGAAAATTGGTGTTTTAGACAAGAACGAGAAGTGTCAGGGAGAGTTAGAGTATTTTAACCATAAGGTGAATTATCAGGTAAAGTTTCTAAGTCAGGTTCATCACACCTTAGATAGTGTATTTTCGGCCTTCCAGAGGTGAAAGTAGCCATCCAGAGAGACTGCTCCCAATTCCTACAAGGGCAATGAAAAACAGGTTATAGTCCGATTGGTAGTAATTAGTGTACAAAGTAACCAGGGGAAGATCCTGAAGGTTGGGGTCTTCCCGTTCTTCACTACTATCCCATGAAGATCCCAGCACCGGTGCCAGCAATTATTAGCCTCACTACCCCTATGAAATGTAGCTGGACAGCATATGACATTGAGGATGCTTCATGAGAGAACCCAAGAAATAGGTCCAAGACCCAGCAATAAAGTAGGTACCCATGGTTCAAAAAGTCTTCACTGGGCAACCATCCCCATTACATCCTGTTAGATAGTTACAGCAGAGCACAAACATGAAAGGCAGTTTCATAAATCTCAGTTTAAGAGCTTCTAGACGTGGAAGGTCTAATCTAGGAAACCTAAGTCCACCTTACGGACTTAAACAAAATCATGAATATATAGGAGGCTAAGGGAACTACCCTTCAAACTGTGGCCTGATTCAGATTTGGGGAGAAGCTTTTCTTCTCTTCTGGCTCTGGGTGTACATCCTGAGACTCTACTTAATGCCCTAGCTTCAGGAGATCTGACTCAATGACTAGATATGACTTGGTGGCAATGTGGAGGGAGAGGAGTGAAGACTAAGAAGAAACTCAATACCAATGAGAAAAAATTGATTGCTTTCAGAGGTATGTATGAAAATTCTACCCAAAATAGAGCACCTGCATAGGCATGTGCAAATGAGAGAGAAGTCAAATCAGAGTGGCTCTGGAAAACTGTGTGTCTTTATTTAGTGATGCTATAACAGAAATACCACAAAAGGGTGGCTTTAACAAATAAATTAATTTTCTCACAGTTTAGGAGGCTAGAAGTTTGAATTCAGGGTGCCAGTTCTAGGGGAAGGCCCTTGTCTCTTTCAGCTTCTAATCCTGGGATATCTTCATGTGGCCTTGCATCTCTCTTCTCCCATCTCTGCTAGATTGCTTGCTTGTTTAATCTCAAAAGAGACTGACTCAAGACACAGCATACACTAAACTTACCCCATTAACATAACAAAGACAGCACATTCCCAAGTGGGATGATAACCACAGGCATAAAACCAAAAAAACCAAACCCGTTGCCATGGAGTCGATTCCGACTCATAGTGACCCTATAGGACAGAGAAGAACTGCCCCATAGAGTTTCCAAGGAGAGCTTGGTGGATTTGAACTGCTCACCTTTTGGTTAGCAGCCGTAGCACTTAACCACTACACCACAGGCATAGAGGTTAGGACTCACATATTTTTTGGGGGGAAACACTTCAATACATAACAGGTGGGGGGTTTCACAGCCTCAGTTATAATTTCTCACCAGCATTCCCCAGCCCTTCAAGCTGTGCATCAGGCACTGACCTGGGAGGGGAAAAGGAGTGCATTCCCAAGATGTAAGCCAAGAAATGATGCACAGGCTTCAGGGATCATTTACTGAGCTCATACCTTGTTCTTGTTGTTGAAGGCCAGAGCCCGGACCTTGCAGTTGTCTGGGTTTGTGTCCTCCTTGGGGATGTCCTTTAAGGCCTTGTGAGTGATGTGGGCATACATAGGGACTCGTGACACATTGTGCCTCGCATCACTTTTGGTCAACACATCGTCTGTCACCTCCCAGAGCCCCATAGAACCATCTCGTGAGCCTGCAAGGCAAGAAGACCACAGAAGTCAGATATGCCCAACCCTCCATGTTCCACAGAATCCAAGATGGGCTTTCTAATTCTAGCTGTTTGTATATTATCTGCAGGTGTGCTAAAGCCTGGTCAGGTGGCCTACCCAAAAATATTCTAATAGACACACAAAGAGAATGATTCAACTAAGGTATAGGAATTAAAATACAACCTTTAGGCTTAACATTGTTGATGGGATATTTCAAGAGAGAATTTTACAGTTTGGTAAAGCTCAGTAATTTCTCAGGCTTAGGTTCTGTGGTTTTGCATCCACAGGTGATTTCTATAGTGCAGAAGTGTCTAGATCAGTGATGCTTAATCTTTTTGAGTCTTGGAAACCTATAAGACACTTAA